CCCCAAAACCCCAAAACCCCAAAACCCCAAAACCCCGGGTTGTGCACAAATAATTGAAGCAACGTTTAGTTGACGTAATATATTTATGAGTAGTCATTTGGAATATCAAGATTTACTTGAGAACTCTGCTTATGAAGAGCCAAAGGGTCGCAAGAACATTTTTCACGGTAAGCTCTAGTTATTGTGGCATCGAGGATGTTCATAGAAGCCTAACAAAGGAAATAGACCCAAATCACTGTGACATCATCACCCCTTAACTACAGGCATGCTCTAATTAACAAAGAAATAAACTTAGATGACTTTGAAGGGCTGATATTTGTAATCATAGTGATAGCCAACTATTCTTCTAAACCAAAATCTTAAAATTTTGGCATGTTTAAAAGATTTTAGTAATTTCTGGAATGAGATTTTAAGGAGATATTATTTTAGATTAAAGTTAGCTTGATCACTGAAGAAAATTCAGAGCATGGTTCTGACTCCTAATTCGGTTCAAAATCATCGCTAATCAAACTTGGTCATCTTCTAAAGCTTATGTGCCACATAAAATCTTAGATACCTTCAATATTATGATATTTTTGGAAATTTCTAAACCTTAGTTTGGTAGATTTTAGAAAAAGCTGGGTTGTGATAATTCAACCGAAAGAAAACCTGCTGAATTTTAATGACCTAATTATGAGAAGTACTAACACATTGAAATAGGAATAATAATAGCTGTGATTGCTATAACCTGCACTGGAGCTGGGCTCCCACTTATCACTATGTACAATGAAGTTTCGGTGGAAATCATTGGAATTTGGAGAGTGCAAATGACTCTTATATACTTAATTCCTGTCTCATTTATTATTTTGGTGAGGAACAAGATTAAGCTAAAACAAGTCTTATCAAAGGAATACTGTGGAAGAATTGTGATTGGAGCGACTATCTACACGTTTGGAACATTCTTATCTATCAAAGGGGGTAGGCTCACTCTGATGTCACATGTAGCCACTCTGTCTAACTCTGGAGGAGTCTTTATCGTGTTAGTCAGCATCATAATGTGCATGAGAGTCCATAAGTTTGAGATTTTAGGGACAATATTGGTAGTGGTCGGGATCATCGTGCTCTTATTTGGTAAGTCAAATTACACTTAAAATTGTAAATCTTCAGATAGGGGACACCTCTTCTTTATAAAGATTAATTTCATCTCTCTTGATCAACATTGCATCACCATTATATTTGTGGTTCACTAAAAATTTTAAGATCTATATCTTAATTTTGATATAGATAAAAGCTCAGAAAAATCTGGCTCAGAGACAAATATTATGAAAGGAGATTTGCTATCTCTAGCTTCGATGCCTTTATATACTATCTCTTCCATGATCAATGATAAAGCTCGATCCAAGCTTCCATCTATGGTCGTCTTTTGACTGTTTTCTATTGTCCAACTTTTTGTGTATGGAACCTATTCGGTCATAGTCAGTGGTCAAGATCTGGAAATTTTGTTCTCAACTCATCAAACATATGGGTTCTTCGGTTGGATGCAACCTGATACGATACTATTTTCCTTAGTTGTGATCGGCTTGGTATGAGGAGTACTTGGAGTTGGAAGTTACATCTACCTTCTTGAATATTTCCCGCCTCATATCACTTCTGGAATATTCTTACTAGAGCCATTTGTAAGCCAATATATGGGAATTCTCTTGGGAGTAGACAAGTTCCCAAGCTTTGTGACTTACGTTGGAGTAATCTTCATTATGTTTGGAATGGCTTCAAATATCCAGGGTTACAGACTTAACCAGAAAGAGCAGACACCAAAAATTTCATCAATAGAGCTTCCAAATGCGAGTTTGTCCTCTGAAGAGATGCGTATCCTCTAGTTATTCAAAATTCCACTCCTAGATTCGGGGTTTTGGGGTTTTGGGGTTTTGGGGTTTTGGGGTTTTGGGG